GGGGGGGGGGGGGGTAGTGGTGTGCGTGCGTGTGGCCTGTGGGGTGCTGTATTTGTGTGTTGGCGTGCATGTGTTGAGGTATGAGACGCAAAAGGAGGCCCCCAGCTGCAGCCGACGCTGCAACCCGCTCGGCGTCGAGCCACCTTCCTGCCCGCCTGCCCACCTGCCCACCCCTCCCGCCTCCCTGCCCGCCCATGCAGTGGCGCACGCGCTTCCGGCGCGACATGAACCGCGCGGAGAGCCAGGCCTCCTCCCGCGCCATCGACTCCCTCATCAACTACGAGACCGTCAAGTACTTCAACAACGAGGAGCACGAGCAGCGCAGGTGTGCGTGTGTGGTGTGTATGTGTGTGGGCGTGTGTGTGTGATGGGATGGGATGGCACGGGTCATGCTAGGGGTGGGGTGTATGTACGTGCCTGTAGGTTTACTAGGAAAAGGGGGCGTGGCAGCTGTACCGCTTTCTATACCGTCAAGTAGTACGCCCAGCTTGTACCGCCTGCGCCGCCCCATACCGGCGCAGGTACGACGCCTGCCTGGCCGCCTACGAGCGCGCCGCCATCGAGACGCAGCAGAGCCTGTCCGCGCTCAACTTTGGGCAGAACCTCATCTTCTCTGCCACTCTGTCCGCCGCCATGCTGCTGGGCATGCAGGCGAGGCGGGGCGGGTGGGGGTGGGGGTGCGGGGGTGCCGGTGGGGAGTGGGGATGGCGGCAGGGTTGAGAAGGAGGCGCGTGGCGTGGTGGTTGGGTGGGGCTGCTGGATGCCTGTGGCTGGGCAGGTGGTGGTGTGTCGGGCATTGAGGCGCAGCACGCGAGGCGCAGCACGCGGGCGACACGGCAGTGGGGCAGCCAGCAGTAGCCAGTCGCCAACACGTCTTCGGCTGCCGCTCCCCTGCTGCAGGGCGTGGCCGCGGGGCAGCTGACTGTGGGCGACCTGGTGATGGTCAACGGCCTGCTGTTCCAGGTGTGAGTGGGCCTCCTGTGGGTATCAGCGCCGCCCCTGGCTGCCTTGTCGCAGCAGCTCGCAGCCGTCTGGTGCCTCGCCCTCTCCCACACGAGCAGCCTCTGCTGCTCGCATGCCCCTCGTCTGCCTGCCTGCCTCCCCGCGTTCCTCCCCCCAGCCCAGCCTGCCATCGCTGTCACCCTGCCGCCTGCCCCACCCTGCTCCTCTCCCTCTCCCCTCTCCTCGACCTCCTGCCTGTGCCCCTCCCCTTCCCACCCACCCTACCGCAGCTCTCCATGCCCCTCAACTTCCTGGGCACCGTGTACCGGGAGACCAAGCAGAGCCTTGTGGATATGGCCGCCATGTTTGCGCTGCTGCGGGAGCAGAGCAAGGTGGTGGACGCGCCCGGTGGGTGCGGGGCGGCCGCGCTCCCTTGCCCTCCTCGCCCTCAGCAGCAGACGGGGAGAGTGGGACGCCTGTGGCGTGTGCCCCCCCACACACTCATGCCATGGCGCGCAGTGCGCGGCCGCGCGGCCCCTCGGCACAGTGCACGCACAGGCATGCAGGCCGCCGCCGCCGCCTGACACCAGCACATCCGCCGCCTGCTCCCCGCCCTCCGCCGTGCCGCAGGCGCGGTGCCGCTGCCCCCCGACCAGCCCCAGGGCTACGACATCGAGCTGCAGGACGTGCGCTTCTCCTACCGGCCCGACCAGCCGATCCTGGATGTGAGTGTGTGTGTGTGTGTGTGTGTGTGAGAGAGAGAGAGAGAGAGAGAAGCTTTGTTTTCAGGGTTGTAGGGAGGGGAGGTGCAGCCAGTGGCGCGGTTTTTGGCAACACCACACTTTGTTTGGGGACGGGGTGAAAGAGGTGCTGCCGGAGGGGCCTGCGCCGCCGCGCTGCCCTCCCCGCTGACCACCCGCACGTCGTGTCCCACCCACCCCCCGCCCGCAGGGGGTGTCGTTCCGCGTGCCCGCCGGCACCAGCTGCGCCCTGGTGGGCACCTCCGGCAGCGGCAAGTCCACCATCCTGCGCCTGCTGTTCCGCTTCTACGACGCAGGCACGCTGCTGGTGGCGGGGCAGGTGGTGGTGGTGGTGGCGGTGGTGTGTGAGTGGTGGTGGAGGGCAGGGAGGGGGCACAGGTTGGAACGCGGCAGCAGAGGCCGGTAGCCTGCGCGGGGCATCGTGCCATGCCGCAACTCTGCGCCCTGCCCTGCCCTGCTGTGGCGTCCACCCAGCCGACTGCCCCTCCTCATGCCCGCCCCTCCCCCTGGCATCCCACCCGCAGAGGGCGGCAGCGTGCAGGTGGGCGGCCTGGACGTGCGGGGCGTGCAGCTGAACAGCCTGAGAAGGGCCATGGGGGAGGTGCCACAGGTGTGTGTGTGTAGGTGTGCACGTGTGTAGGTGTGCATGTGCGTACGTGTGCGTGTGTATGTGTGTTCAGGTGTGCGCCTCGAGGGGTGGCGGCGGTGTGTTTCTGCGGCCCGGAGCGGTGTGTGGACCGGGAGCGCTCACAGCGACCGCCCCCTGTCCTCCCCAGCCTGCCTCTTTCCCCCAGCGTGCCTTCTTCCCGGCCTGTCCCCGCCGGCCCTCACACGCCTGCCCGCCGCCTCCCTCCTTCCTTCCCCTCCCTCCCCGCCTGCTGCAGGACCTGGTGCTGTTCAACGACTCGATTTACTACAACATAAACTACGGCAGGCTGGGGGCGGGCAAGCAGGAGGTGGAGGAGGCTGCCAAGCAGGTGGGCAGGGCTGTGTGTGGCAGTGGTGGTGGTGGTAATGGTGGTGGTGGTGGTGGTGGAAGTGGCGGTGTGTCAAGCTGGCGGGCCGGCGGAGTAACAGCTGGCTTATGGCACATCAGCCGCTTGCGTATCAGCAACCCGCGTACCACCGTTCCCTCTCGTTGCGTGTTTTCTCGCTCATCGGCCTCTCCCTCCCTCCAGCCAGTCAGCAATCCCTGTCCCTCCCGTGCCCCCCTGCCCAGGCCGCCATCCACGACCAGATACTGCAGTTCCCAGATGGCTACGAGACGCTGGTGGGAGAGCGGGGCCTGAAGCTGAGGTGCGGGGTGCAGCGCACCGCTGGGCTGGAGACGCAGCGCCGGGTCTGCGCGGCGTGCCCGTGGCCTGCTGCCCGCCAGGCCTGCCGCTGCAGGAGCGTGCCCCTCTGGCACAGCACAGCACACATGTGTGGCATTTGCCGTGCGACGCCTCCCCTGCCGCTCACCCGCCTGCTGCCCCCCGCCTCCCGGGCCACCCGCCGCACGGCCGCTGCGCGCAGCGGCGGCGAGAAACAGCGCGTGGCGCTGGCGCGCGCTTTCCTCAAGTCCCCCCGGGTGCTGCTATGCGATGAGGCCACCTCTGCGCTGGACAGCCGCACCGAGAAGGAGGTGGGGGCGCGGCGGCGCCTGTGCAGCGATTGTGTGTGTGCTGGCGCTCTTGTTGTTGCTGTGGTGGTGTGGTGTGCGTGCAGGAGGAGAGCTGTGCTGCGCCATGCCCTGATGTGAAGCCCGCGCTGCCTGGCGCTCGGCTGCCCCGCCATGCCAGCTGCCTGTGCCTCGCCTGCGCCTCTAACCCATCCTCTCGCCACCTGCTGCTCTGTGCCCCCCGTGGCGCCGCTCTGCACACGCGCAGGTGCTGGGCGCTCTGTTCAGCCTGGCCAAGGGGCGGACGTGCGTGGTGGTGGCTCACCGCCTGTCCACCGCGGCCCAGTGCGACCAAATCGTGGTGCTGGAGCAGGCAAGGACTGCGCGACCCCGGCTGCTGCTGCCGCTGCTGCTGCTGCTGTGCAGCCTGCAGGCTCTGGCTCCGGTGTGCCCAAGGCCGCTGGAGCCGGGGTGTGGCCAGGCGGGCGCTTACGGAGGCTGCCCGCCTGCAGCCACAGCAGCTGCCGCTGCCCAGAGCTGCTCCTGCTGCCGTGCCTGCTGCCCCGTGTGCTGTGGTGGTGACATCGCCATGCCGCCCCCCCATCTCCCTCCCTGCAGGGCCGGGTGGTGGAGAGCGGGTCGCACCAGGAGCTGCTGGCACTGGGAGGAAAGTACGCGGAGCTGTGGTCCCGCCAGCAGGCGCACGTGGATGAGCCGTATGATAGTGGATCTGAGGAGCTAGAGCTGGAGGGAGAGGAGCAGCTAGCGGCGGCGGCAGAAGCAGCGGCACCGCAGCCGGCAGGAGGACCAGCAGCGGCGGGCAGCGGTGGAGGAGGCGGCGGCGCCTGATCGTCGCGGCGAGGGCTCCCGGCAGCGATGCGCTGCTGCACCATTCTCCTCGTTGCTCGTTCTTGCTGCTCTGTCTCCCCTGCTCCAATCAGTGATCTCTTACTCTCTTACATCCTCGCTTCAGTACAATAACAGTGCTCAGTTGAATCACGGCTTCTGAAAACAGCAAAATTGAGGGCTGCCAGGGCTTTGAAACCCTTCAGCGCCACCCAGCCGGCGTGCCCAGGGCGGCGGGATGGGACACCAGCCGGACACCTGCTTGTCCTGTCAGGACGGCGGGATGGAGACCCGCACCAACGTGAGCTCATACTCCAGCGTCGCGCCAGGTGGCACCGTGCCCGCCTTCTCCGGCACGTGCTCTGTGGGGCGCAGCGTGATGCCCCTGTCCCCAAACCCCAGCTCCGGCGGCACCGTCACCCGCCGCCGCCCGCCGGCCCGCATGCCCGCCAGCGCCTGCTCCACGCCCGCGCACATGCCGCCCGCAAACGGGCGCTTGCCGTACAGGAAGACGATGGGCTTGCCGCGGGCGGTGGTGTCTTCAAACAGCCTGCCGTCGGCATACCCTTTGTAGTCCAGCACCACGATGTAGCCTGCGGGGGAGGAAAGAAGCAAGGTAGAAGGCGTGCCGGGGAAGAAAGCAGGCGGGAGGCAAAGGTGGGCACGTGTGGGCGTCTGTGGGGGGAGAACCGCCAGTGATGTGCCGCAGCGGGAGCAGGCGCGCACGGGGAAGCGAGGCCGCGGTGGCGGGTGGCCGAGTGGGGACCAAGCTGAGCTGAGCAGAGGTGAGCCGGTGCAGGCGGCCCTTGGGGCGCAGATGCCACGCCTGGTGGCGTTGGCCCGCGGGCCGCCCGCGACGCACCCACCCAGGCGGGGCGCACCTGGCTGCGGCGGCGCGCCGCCGCCCAGCTTCAGGTCTGTGTAGCGCAGCCCCTGCGGGGTCACCACCTCCCGAGCATCTGCCACCTCCCTTGTGTTGGCCTCCTCGCTCGCCACCTCCAGCCGCGTCTTGATCTGAGTCGGGGGGAAGGTGAGGAGGATGCGGAAGGGGAGGTGTGAGGGGAGGCAGGAGAGGGAGGGGAGTGGAGAAGCGCGTGTGTCCTCAGGCTGTGGCCACGCCCGGCTTCCTTGCAACTACTGCCCATGGCTTCCGCACGCCTGCCGGGGCCCACGGCTCCCGAATCCCCATTTTTTTCATCCGCTTCTCGGCCTCCCTTGCCTGCTCGCCGATGACGCCAAAGGCCAGGAAGCCCACCCACGCGAGGCCGCCCGCCAGCCCAAAGCGCCGCGTCAGCCTGCTGGCAATCATGTCTGTAGACTCGGCCTGCCGCCGCCGCCGCCCCGCCTCGCCCGCCTGCTCGGCGGCGCGCACCGCGTCGCGCACCGAGCCGCTGGCGGCGCCGGGAGCCTCGCCTGGCTCTGGCGATGCCGCCGGCTCGGCGGCCGCTGCCGCGCTGCTGTCTGGCTTGGGTGCCTCCGCCTGGCACACCAGCATGCGAGCTGCAAGGCAGGAGGAGGGAGTTCAGCACTGGCGCATGGCAACGGCAAGTCGGCACGGCTCCGCCCCGCTGCCGGTGCTGCGGCCAGGCGGAAGCACAGAATGGCCGAGCACGCACCTCTGCTGGCACGGGCCGGTCTCCAGGATGCTGCGGCAGCAGCTGCAGGCTGGAAGGGCCGAGGACGGCGGAGCCCCGCTGGCTCGGCAAGCGCCGGCACCACAGCTGCAAGCACCGACATGCTGCACAGCCGGCGATCAGTGAATGCAGCAGCGTGCGGAGGCTGAGCATCGTGGATTGGAAACAGGCGCTGGGTGGGGATGTGGCACTTGCTGGCAAGCGCGCAAGGATTTCAAGAGGAGAGAACGTGCCTGCATTGCACCCTGCCCACTTCCTGCAAAGGAGGGCTCACGATGGGGCGCGTTGCAGTTTGACTTCTGGCGGTAGCTGACTGGTTTGAAGGGCGCCAGCCTGCTCTCGATGGCCCGCCCAGGGTGCACATCCGAGACCAGCATGTCGTCCCTGCTCGAGCGGGATGGCGAGGGCCTCGATGTGGGGCGCTGGGCCGCCCAAGACTCGGCCCAGGCCGCCGCAGCCTGCAGCAGCCCCAGTGCCAGCGAGGCCGACGACATGCACATCCCCGCCTTGCTGCAGCTGCGGCTGGAGGTGGCGACGAGCCAGCTGGTGCGCCGCCGCCGCCGCCGCTGCCGCCGGTGCCTGGCGGGGAGTGCAAGAGACTGTGGCGTGGGGATCCCAGTTTGGCACCACCAAGCCTGCATCCCAAAATTCTTGATGGTTGCAGAACGATCAGAAGGCGCGCGTCCGCGGCCTGGAGTCTCAAGTGCGAGAGCTGCAGGGACGGCTGGGGCAGGCCGAGGGCCACGGCGAGAGCGCCCAGCTGTCGCAGGCGCTGCTGGCGCAGCGCATCCAAGAGCTGGAGGCGGCGCTGACTGCCAGCAGGCGTGCAGAGCAGGAGCATGCTGCGCAGCTGGCGCGGGCGGAGGGGCGGGCCGCCGTGGCAGAGGGCTCCCTCAGGGCTCGCGCCGAGCAGCTGGGGCAGGGCCTGGGGGAGCTGCAGGCACAGCACGCCGCCACGCTGGCAGCACAGCGGGAGCAGCACGCGCGCGAGCTGGCGGCGCAGCGGGAGCGGCAGGAGGCGGCGGCTGCCGCTGCCCAGGCGGCGACTGCCGCCGTTCAGGCCGACTGGGAGGCCCGGCTGCAGGAGCTGGCCAGCAGCAAAGCAGGCCTGGAGGCCGCGGTGCGGCGGGAGCAGCAGCGGGTGAAAGAGCTGCAGGGGCAGCTCGACAAGGAGGGCTCCAAGCATGAGGCAGTGCGGGAGCTGATGCGGCACTCAGAGGCGCTGCAGGGCCAAGTAGACCGCCTACAAGCCGCGGCCCAGGAGGAGCGACGGCGGCTGGGCAAGGCCGCGCAGGCAGCCGAGGCCGCGGTGCAGCAGGAGCGGCAGCTGGCGGATGCGGCGGCGCAGGAGGCGCAGCAGCGGGCGCAGGTGGGGCGCTCTGGCCTGGGCTGCGCCTGCAGCTGTGCGACCGCTGGTTGCCGCTGTGGTCGGCATGGGCCGCTGCACGCCTGCTTGGGAGTAAGCTGCGGCCATTCTGCTGCCTACACTCCCTCCGCCATGCCATCATCGCTCTTGTTTGCCGTCTCATCCTGTTTGCTGGCTTGCCCGGCAGGAGGCGGCCCGTGAGCACGACAAGGCGGTGCGGCAGGCGCGGGCCAAGCAGCAGCGCGCCGAGGCAGAGCTGCGGGCTGCCAAGCAGGCGGCGGCGGCGCAGGCGGCGCGGGTCCATGACCTGGAGTCCCTCAACGCCAAGAAGGACCTCCAGCTGGATGCCGCGGTGCAGCAGGCGGGTGGCGCCGGGCTGGCTTGGGGGGGCGGCGGGCCGCCGGCGCTGCCGGCATCACCCTGCCGGCATCGCCAGCAGCGCTTGCCGCTTGCCTGCTGCTGCTCCTCCTGGGCGTGTGCTCAGTGATTGCCCACCCGCCAACGGCGTTGCAGCGTGGCGCCTTTCCCAATCGTTCTCCGTCCCTTTCTCATCATTCCCCGTCCCCACGCCTGCCCTGCAGGTGTCGCTGATGCAGCACGAGTTGGAGGCGCTGCGGCAGGGGCTGTCTGGGCGGCAGGCCGCCGCCGCCGAGGCGGCCCGTGGCGAGTATGCGGCGGCGCTCGCCGGCTGCCATGCCCAGCTGGAAGCCGCCAAGGCGCGGCTGAGCGAGGAGGCTCTGGCTTCTTCCCGCCAGGGCCAGGCGCTGGCCAGTATCCTTCGCATCCTAGGCGTGCACGCCGGGGAGGCGGCGGCGGCGGAGCCAGGGCGCGGCAACGGCGTGGCAGAGCCTGCCGATGGGGACGCTGGGGCAGCAGGAGCGCAGGCTGGGGCAGCTTCTGCTGCGCTGCCAGACCCCGCAAAGGTGGTGGCGTTTGTGGAGGCGGTGAGCGGCAGCATGCTGGATGTGCAGCAGCAGTGGGAGCTTGAGAAGGCGGAGATGGCGGCGGCGCTGGAGGCGGCCGAGGCGGTGCACGCGCAGCTGGGGCAGCTGCTGGAGCGGGAGCGGCAGGACAACAGGGGCATGGCGGCGGAGGGGGCGGAGATGGCGGCGGCACTGCAGGGCATGGAGGCTGAGCTGGCGGCTGCGCATGAGCAGCTGCGTGAGGTGGGTGGCGGCGGCATGGCGGCCGGTGGATTTGGGTCGAGGTTCGGGCGGGTGGGGTCGGGGTTGGTGCTGGTTGTTGGCTGGTAGCTGCCGCGAGCATGGGCCGTGCGCTTCCTTGTGTGCTGCCTCCTTTGCTGCCTTGGGCGGCCCAGAGGCGTTCCCTCTTGCTGAGCGCCCAGCTTGCATCGCCGTGCTGCAGCTGGATGCAGCCAGGGTGGGCCGAGCTGCGGCCGACGCTGCGCTGGAGGCATGCCGCGGCGAGCTTTCCGCGGCCGTCGCCAAGGCGGGCGCCACTGCCGACGAGGCCGCCAAGTGGCAGGGCGCGGCAGCGGCGCTGGAGGCCCGAGCTGGGCAGGCGGCTGCCGATGCCGAGGCGGCGCGGAGGGAGGCACAGGCGGCTAGGGAGGAGCTGGAGTCTAAGGATGGGCGCATAGCAGAGATGAGGTGGGTTGGGGGCCAAGGCAGGCAGGGCAGGGCAGGGCAGGGCAAGCAGTCGGGCTGGCTGTCGTGGCTGGCAGACGTCAGGCATGTGGAGAACGGCAGCTGCCAGTCGTCTGTTGTTGGCCCCCCCTGCCGCCCGTCCAAGCCTGGCTGCCCTCACCCCCTCTGCCCCCGCCCTGTGCAGGAATGCCATGGCTGCTGCCATGCAGGAGCGCAGCAGCTCTGCCGCCGACATGAGCTCCGCGCTTGCCCAGGCGCAGGCGGCAGCAGCGGCCACCTGCCAGCCCGCGGTGCAGCACCTGCAGGCCGCTTTGGCGGTGCTGGGTGCGGAGCGAGAGCCCCAGGCTGCCGAGCTGGCTGCGACGCTGCAGTCGGTTGCGGGCCTGCTGCGTGCGCTGCCGCCAGCAGACGTCGAGCTGGCAGCTTGCGTCGGCACGCTGGGCCGCGCTGTGGGCCAGCTGGCGGCGGGATACTCGCACGTCGCGGCCATGACACAGGAACGGGGCAAGGTGGGCACCAACCGGCCGTTTTTCCTGGTGCCAGCCAGCGAGCTGGGCCGGACAAGCAGTCAAGGCTGGCTGGCTGGCCTGGCCCGCCGCACGTTTGCCTCTGGGATGTTCCCAGACTGTGGAAGTGATCAGCTGGTGAACCTCATGCTCATGGGTTCTCTCCTTTCTTTGCTGCAGGTGCACCACATTCTGTCCTCCGTCAACGCGCAGCTGCAGGCAGCCGCAGCGGCACACCCCAGCCGCCTGCAGGCCGCCGCATTGCCCGGCGGCGGCGCCGGCTCGGCGCCGCCTGGCGACAGCCCCGCCTCCGCCTCCGGCCTCTCGCTGGTGGAGCTGCTGCAGCGACTGACGGCGGGCGTGGTGGGGCTGGTGGAGGGGCTGGCTGTGGAGAAGGAGTGCCTGGAATCGCAGATGCTGCACGCCAGTGACGAGTCGGCGCAGCTGCGCAGCCAGGTGCGCCTCCCTCTGCTTGCGCCTCCCTCCGCTGACCCGGTGAAAGCCCTGCTGTCCTGCCCCGCTGCCAGGTGCCAGCAAGTACCTCCCTTTGAGGATTGTGTGTTGAGTGATTAGATCATGGATGATGTTGGCAAGCCATGCCCAATTCCTACTGTGTTGTTTGATGGGCCTGCCACCTTGCCACCTGGCGCCTTCCCCCCTGTCTTGCCGTGCAGCTCCAGTCCATACAGGCGGTGCTGGCCTCGCTGCAGAGCCACACCGCGCTGGAGCACCAGGAGGCGCTGGTTGCGCTGGAGCAGGCTCGGCTGCGGCTGGCGGAGCTGGCGGGGGAGAATGCTGAGCTGGCGCAGCGCGCGCAGCAGGCGCAGCAGGCCGCCGACGCCGTCCGCGCCTCCTCCGCCCGCGAGTGGTCTAGCGTGCGGGATGACCTGTCCGGCCTGGTGGAGCAGGCGGAGCGTGCGCAGCTCAGCGCGGACGCCGCCTGCCAGCAGCAGCGGGAGGAGTATGAGGAGCGGCTGGCGCGGGCGGCGCAGCAGGCTGGCGAGGACGCGGCGGCGCGCGCGGCGGCCGAGGCTGCCGCGGCCCGGCTGCAGCGCGAGGTGGAGGAGGTGCGGCGGGAGCTGGCTGCCGCGGAGCAGCAGGTGGCTGGCAGGGAGGAGGCGCTTCGCAGCGGCCTGCAGGCGAGCCACGCAGGCATGCAGGAGCTGGAGGGCAGGGTGGCGCAGCTGCAGAAGCAGCTGGCGACGCGCGCCCGCACGGGCGGCATCAGCGCCGCACCCGCCAAGAAGGCGGCAGCGGCCACCAGCGCCGCGGGGGCTCTCAAGCAGGACAACCAGCGGCTGAGGGAGCAGGTGGAGGTCCTGCAGGGCCAGGTACGCGCCTGCCTGGCTTCTGGTGCCTGCAGCGCTCTCCCAGCTGCCCTCCTGCCTGCTGCTGCTCCGGCCAATCAGTGCTCGCGCCACTCTCTGCCAATCACTGCTCGCGCCACTCTCAGCCAATCGCTGCTCCCAGTCGCTTGCTCCAGCTAGGCATCCTTCCACGCCACAATGCACGCCTGCCCTGCCTGCCTGCCCGCCTGCCTCCCCGCGCCTGCAGGTGCGCATGCTGGAGGAGCGGGTGCGGCACAGCGTGCAGCAGCTGCGGCAGGCCAGGGACCTGGCTGAGGTGGCGCAGCGCAGCATCGCAGACGCGGGTGGGTGGCGGCGGGCGCAGTCGCCCGGCATGAGGGGCTGGCGGAAGGATGTGGCTGTGGCAGTGCCCTGGAGGCGCCCGATAGGCTCGGCGGGGCTTGTTTTTACATGTGCCAGAGTGTGCAAGCACAAGTGCAACTGCCCTCGCTCCTCAGCCGCGCCGGCTTGCATGTGTGAGTGTGCATGTGTGTGTGTGTGTGCGCGCACGCGTGCAGAGGGGCGTGCCAGCCGTGCCGAGGCGCTGCTGCGCAAGGTGGATGAGCGCAAGGCTGCGGCGGAGGTGGAGCGGCGGCGGGCCTCCGAGGCGGCGGGCCGGCTGGAGCAGGAGGCTCTGGAGCTGCGGTCCCGCCTGGAGGCAGCGCAGCACCGGGAGCGGGCGGCGCAGGCGGAGGCGGAGCGGCTCAGGTGGGCGGCGCGCCCCGACGTTCAGGCTGCCTGATGTCAGGCGAGCGCGGCTTAAGCGCCGATTTCAGGCTGTCGGGTTTCAGGCTGCCGGCAGGAGGTTTCAGGCGCCGCCGGTGCAGCGCGCTGCGTGCTCCTGTGCTGATTAGGTGGCCGATACCGGCCCCAGCACCTGCCAGCTGCAGCGGCTGCCCACCACACACCGCGGCAGAATGATTGACACGGCACCGTCTGTGTTGGGCCTGGCTGTCCTGCCCTGGTGTGCAGGGCGGCGTGCGGCAAGCGGGATGCGGACTCCCGCCAGCTCAGCGGCGCCCTCAGCCAGCTGGAGGTTGCGGAGGCGGCGCTGCGCGACTCGCAGGGCACCGCGGCCCGCCTGCTGCAGGACTGCACCGGCCTGCAGCGCGACAACCGGCGGCTGGGGGAGGAGGGGCGGCAGCTGAGCGCGCAGCTGCAAGGTGGGCGCCGGTGGGCGGGGGCACCTGCACAGAACTGATGTTGAGGCTCCTCACACCTTGCATCGCACTCCCGCCCAGCAACCGCCAGCTCCCTGTGCCACCTTTCCTTCCTCCCTTCCTTCCCCTTCCCGCCGCCACCGCCCTGCCCAATTCCGCCGGCGTCCCCGTCCTGGCGCCGCCTGCCGCAGACGCGCGCCAGGAGGCGGCTGCGGCGGCCGACCAGGTGCAAGACCTGCAGGCCACGCTGGATGCCGTCATCACCGAACTGCACATCGCCCGCTCCCTGCTGGCCAACCAGCGGCACCAGGAGCTGCAGCAGCTGGAGGCGGCGGCCGAGGCGGCGGCGGCGGGGCCCGGAGGCGGCCAGGGAGCCTTCTACCAGCAGCTGGTGGCCTGCCCTGTGCGGGTCGGCAGCCTGCGGTTTGAGCCAGAGGTGGGGGGTGGGGGCGGGCGGCTGCTGCGGGCTGCCGCTTCGGGCTGCTGCCATGGGAGGCTGCTGTGCGAGCAGGTTGGCTGGCTGCTTGCGGCACAATGGTCTGTGGGTGCGCCTGTGTGGCGCCGGCCTGGTCAGCCAGTCCGCAAGGAACCCGTAAGCACGTGTGTGGGTTAGAGCTGGTTCCTAGCAGCTGCCCGGTGCCTGCCGCCCGCGGCCTGCCCGCAGGCCGACCCTGGGGAGCAGTCTCAGCTGGAGCAGGCAGTGGAGAATGTGTTGGGAGCCCGGGACACCAATGCCCGCTCTGGAGGCGCAGGGCGCAGCGCCAGCAGGGCATCCAAGCCGGCCGGCGCCGGCGCCGGCCAGCTCTGCACGCCTGCAGGCGCGTCGGCCCCAGCCTGGGGCGCCGACGCGCGGCCCTCGCCGCTCACCCAGCAGGCGTCTCTCAGGACGCAGACGCCCGGCACGCCCGCCGCGCGGCACCAGGGGGCCACCCCTGCCGCGGCACACATGGCCGATGACCCAACCAGCCGGGGGGTCACTCCAGAGTCGCTGTGGCGTGTGGCTGAAGGCGAAGAGGCGGCAGGGGCAGGAGCCACACAGCCTCCACCCGAAGCCCTGCAGCAGCAGCAGCAGCAGCAGCAACAGCAGCAGCAGCACCAGCAGAGCGTCTCCCGTCCCGCGTCCGCCGCCAGCACGGCGGGCGGAGCGGGCGGCGTGGACGTGGGCGACGTGCGGCGGCTGGTCGGCAGCGTGGAGTCGCTGCAGCGCCAGCTGGCAGTAAAGAATGACCGCATCAAGCAGCTGAGGGCCGCCCTGCAGCAGGCCAGCGCCGCGGGCGCCTCCTTCACGCCCGCAAGCAGCCGGCCCGGGTCTGCAGCAGCGGCAGGCGCTTGCGGCGGCGGCGGCGGCGGCGGCGAGGTGATTGTGCTGGAGCAGCGCCTGGCTGCGGCCCAGCAGCAGGTGGAGTCGCTTCAGGCGCTGGCCGCCCACATGGAGCGCCAGGTCAGCGACGCGCAGCAGGCACAGCAGGCGCAGCAGGCGGTGCAGGCCCAGCTGGGCCGCATCTCGCGCCAGCTGGCCGCCGTGCTGGGCAGCAGCGGCAGCAGCAGCGGCGTCGATGGCGGCGAGCCTGGGGCCCTGCGGCCCTCCAGCGCCCAGGGCAGCGGCCTGCCTGCTACGAACGGCGATGCTGCTGCCGTCCTCCGCCTGCAAGTGCACCAGCTGGAGCAGCTGGCGGGCAGGCTTGCCGACGAGGTGGAGGGCGGCAGGCGGGAGCTGGCCGCCGCGCGGCAGCACGGCAGCACGCTTTCCATGCAGCTGGCCAGCCGCAACGCACTGGTGGATGCGCTGCAAGCACAGCTGCGCACGTTGTCTGCCTGCGATGGCGGCGGCGCCGGCAGCACTGCCGAGGGTGCTGCCTGTACAGACGCCCTGCTGGCGCCGCCGCCCGCCACGCTGGCGCACCCCGCCTCCTCGGCAGACGGCGCCGCTGCGGGGGCGGCGCCGCCTGCGGATGCCCTGGGCAGCCTGGACCGAATCGTGTCGCTGTGGCGCCAGGCGTGCGCCGCCAAGGATGCCCAGCTGCAGCAGCTGCGGGGCGAGCTGGAGCAGGTGGGCGGGTCGGAAGGGAGGGGTAGCTTGCGAGCCTTGCTAGCTCTGCTGGTGGCGGTGCTGCTCCTGGCACTGCTGGGACCGACGCAAGGCAGCCGATGCATCCATGACAGAAATCGTTGAGGGGCCTGTGACTTTCTTTAACATCGGGAATGGTGTACATGAACTCCTGTTCCCCCGGCGCTGCTCTGCAGGCCCAGGACGGTCTGGGCCGGGCTCAGATCGAGCTGGACTCCCTCTCGTCCGCCGCCCAGGAGCTAGCCGAGCGGCAGCAGCACGGCAGCCAGCTGGCCGAGGAGCTGCAGCAGCGGCTGGCGGAGGCCGAGCAGCGCGGCGCGGCGGCGGCGGCCGCTGAGCAGGCGCTGGCTGCGCGGTGCGGCGAGCTGGAGGCGGCGCTGCAGGAGGCGCGGGAGGCGGCGGAGGCGGAGGGCGGCGCGGCGCGCGAGGCGGGGCAGGGGCGGGCCGCTGCGGAGCAGCAGGCGGGCAGCCTGGAGCAGCGGCTGCACATCGCCGAGGCGCAGGTGGGAGGCTCCTTTGAGTGGGGGTCACTGGGCCTGCCTGATCACCGCTGATGGTGACCTCATGTGCAACGCATGAATGCTGCTGCTGCTGCTGCTGCTGGTGGTGTGCTTGGTGCCCATGGCATGTGCTGCCTCTGCTACATGTTTCGTTCGATCGTTTGCACCGCTGCTTGCGCTGCGTTCCTGCTGTGCAGGTGCGGGAGCTGCAGCATGTGGTGCAGCTGGAGCAGCTGTCTCGCGGCGACGCCGACGCCCTGCGGCAGCAGGCTGCGGCGCTGAAAGCAGACCTGGCCACAGCTCGGGAGGAGGCCGCCGCGGCGGACCAGCGCGCGGCCGACCTGCGGCAGCGCTTGGCCGAGCAGCAGGCCGCCGCTCAGGCGGCCGCCGACGGCGCCTCGCCGACCCTGGCTGCGCGGCTGGACGCGGCGCGGCAGGCAGAGCAGCGGCTGCTTCGGCGGGTGCAGGACTTGGAGGCTGGGATGGCTGCGGCAGAGCAGGCGGCAGAGCAGGCGGCGCGGTCGGCGGCGGTGAGGGAGGCTGAGAGCCGGCAGCTGCAGCAGCGGCTGGCAGCCAGCGAGCAGCAGCTGCGTGAGGCGCTGGAGACTGTGGGGCAGCAGAGCTCGGCGCTGGATGGCCTGCAGGCCGCGCTGGGGCAGCAGCAGCGCCAGCAGGAGGCACGAGCGGAGGCGGCGGTCACCCACGCCCAGCTGGCTCGCCAGCTGGCAGCCTCCCAGCAGCAGCTCAGCCTGGCGCGCCAGGAGGCCGCGGTGGCCCAGAAGCAGGTGGAGGTGCTGAGGGCGCAGGCGGCCAAGGCGGAGGCGGAGTCTGCGCGGGCGGCGGCGGAGCGGCGGCACGTGGATGCCAAAGAGGCGTCGGTGCAGGAGGCCTTGCAGCGCTACCAGCGAGGCGTGGCGGTGCTCAGCCACGCGCTGCAGCAGCTGCAGGAGGCCGGGGGCGGGGAGGGCTCCCAGGACCGGCTGCTGGCCTCGCTGCAGGCGGGAGCCGGTGGCGGCGGCGGCGGCGGCGGCGGCGGCGGCATGGCCGTGGAGCAGCTTGTGGATGAGATCCTGCTGCAGGTGTGTTCGTGTGTGTGTGTGTGTGGTGTGGGTTGGTGGTTTGGGTTTGTTCATGCGTGCATCTGTGCAGGATGACAGTCAACTCAACTCCCAGCTAGCCTCACCTCAGCTGCGCTGCCCTGGCCGCAACCTCGCCTGCCTCTCCCCGCCTCCCCACCCGCCAGGTGCACCGCCGCGACTGCGAGGTGTCTTCGCTGGTGGCTGAGGTGGCGCACCTTGAGGCGGCCATGGCTGGGAAGATGCGGCAGGCGGCAGACGCAGAGGTGCGGCAGCGGAGCAGGAGCCACGGCGTTTCTGCTTCTGTCGCCTGCTCGCTGGCCGGCCCTCGCAAATTGGTTGTGAGTTGTGAGCACTGGTCTCGTTCCCACCACCACACACACACACACACTGAAACGCGCCCGCCGTGCGCCCCGCGCTGCCCGCAGGCGCAGCAGCATCAGCAGCAGCGCTCGCTGTCGCGCCTCAAGGAGCAGCTGCACTGGTGCGTCAAGGAGACGGAAGCGCTCAAGCGCCAGCTCAGCGACAAGGAGGCGCAGCTGCAGCGCCTGAGGGCCGGCCCTGCCGCCGGGCCGGGCGCCGGCGCCAGCGGCGGCGCCAGCGTGGCGCGGCAGCTGGGCAGCCTGGGGGGCTTTGGGGCCAGGGGCAGCGGCGCGGGTGCCGCCAGCAGGCGAGGGCTGGACCATTTCTGACCCGAGCCGCTGAACATGAACTTTTGCCTCATATGAGCGCCACCTCTCCCATTCCTACCTGCGTGACGCATCCTCCATCCACACTCCTCCAAAGTCCAGTCTCATGCGAGACCAGAGAGGCCCAACCCTCTGATGATCCCCCTGCTCTGTACCTCCCTTCCTGTACATCCTCCTGTACCATCCACCCCCCTCTGCTCGAGGAGCGTCACAACAGGCTGCCCGGCTGGGCCCATGGACTTGGATCGACAGCAGCCGCTTTGCGGGCAAAAGGGCGATATTACGATACAGGGTAGGGGCACAGTTACAGCAGGCAGGCGTGAACAAGGAGGGCTAGCAGGGGGGAAACAAAAAGAAGGTTGCGCGGCTCAAGGAAAGGGGTATAGCGAGGTCGCAGTTTCCCGACAGGGCATGACTTGCGACTTTGTATGGCGAAGAGATGCGCCGGCAGCGCACTGAGCAATACAGAGCGGGGCATCTCCTGCTTGCAGGTGGCCATGGCAAGGCAGCAAAGGGGGTCAGCTGTGGCGCCCATGCTGGACCCAAAACCTGGGGCACATCTGCCCGATAGCAGTGGGAAGAGAAGCATGTATGTATAGGGGAAATGGTGACGTTGCAACATGGCGCCGCCAGCTGCCGGGCAAGGCACCGCAGGGTGAGATCTTGCGGCGGCTGCCGGCGGCTGCACCTGCTGTGCAGAAGGGGCTCACACCCAGGCTGAGATGGGGTAGGAGGCTGCCTGGATGATGTGCAGCAGCAGCTCGGGGGGCAGCGCCGCCAGGGCCGCCCGCGGGCCGGCCGCCGCCGCCGCCGCCTCGCCCGCCGGCCCCGCCAGGCCGCGCCGCCGCCCCGCCGCCTTGCCGCGCGCCTTCGCGGCGGGCGGGGCGGGGGCCGGGGCTGCCGTGGCTGCCCGCCGCTGCGGCAGCTGCTCCAGCCGGGCGCGCTTGGCGGCGCGGGTGAGCGGCGGGCCCCCGGCGCCGCCGTCGGGCACGTCGCTGCCGCTGCTGCCGCCGCTGCTGCTGCCGCCGCTGGCCGACCTGCCCGCGTGGTAGACCAGCAGCAGCTGCTGCACGGCCCGCTTAAACTTGGGGGGCCAAGCGTGGTGGCGGGCCGCGGTCCAGGGCTCGCATTTGGCGGCAAGCCAGGTATACCTGCGTCGTACGCAAGGGAGGGCAGGGCGCCAGGGCGCGGCAGGGAGCTGAGGACTCTGTTGCTGCCTGTGGGAGGGCCGGGGCGGGGCGGCAGGTGCCAGCAGGCGGCTCGCTCGACGGCTAAGCCTTCCAGCTGGCGACAGCAGAGGTGCCGAGCTCGCCATGGGCGGCTGCTGCCGGCGCAGCCGCCGCTCCACCCCAGCGCCACCCCGCAGCTGCCGGCCGCCAGCCAGCCAGCACCCCCGCCCCTCGTGGCCACCGAAAACAACAGAAATTGCCCTGCCACATATCATAGTGGGGGTGTTGTTTCGCCCCGTATAGCCCCAGTGGGGGTGTTGTCGTGCCCCCTAGCCCCCAGCCCCACCTGTTGACCCCCTGCAGGTCAAACGCCGCCGCCTTGTCCACAGTCGGGTCGTAGCCGCTGACCAGCCGCCCCTGCAGGTCGATCCAGCCATTGTGCACCACAGCCTGCAGGCGGGCACAGGCGAGG